ACAGGCCTTCGATGAGTTAAAAGCAAAACTCACATCGGCACCGATATTAATGCTGCCTGACACGCGTCCGGAGGCCCCGCCCTTCATTCTCGACAGCGACGCCAGCGGGTTCGCGATCGGGGGCGTACTCTCACAAGCCGATGAGACAGGGACCGAACGACCGATTTGCTTTGCGAGCAAAACCCTGTCGAAACCCGAGCGAAACTACTGCACCTACCGACGAGAATTGTTAGCGCTGATTACGTTTATCAAACAATTCAAGCCATTCTTAGTGGGCAAACATTTCATCGTCCGCACCGACCATAAGGCCTTGCAGTGGTTACAAAATATGAAAGAAGCTGAGGGCCAGCTCGCGAGATGGCAAGAATTACTACAGGAGTTCGATTTCACGTGTCATTATCGACCAGGTCACCAGCACGCCAACGCAGACGCCCTTTCTCGCCGCCCAAGTGAGGCCGCCACCGCAGACCCAGAAGGGCCAGACGAACATATAGCGGCAGTTACAATCAGCGAACCCACTCGTTACCATTGGGCAGTTGCACAAAGTACCGACCCGGACACGGCAATAGTTTATGACCACCAGCTGCATGGTCGACACAGACCAACAGAGGCCGAACTCCGCGGCTCCTCAGAGATCGCCCGCCTCTTGTGCCACCAATGGGCCAACCTGTTCGTAGAGAATGAACTGCTTTTCTTTAAAGACGCCACATCCACCCAGCCGCGGCTAGTTGTCCCGGGTAGTCTCGTCATACCCGTCCTCACAGACTTGCACCACGAGTTGGGACATGTAGGAGTGACCAAAACGGAAGCGGCCGCTAGACAGCGTTTCTGGTGGCCCCGCCTCAGAGAGCAGGTCGCCAATTTCTGTAACGCGTGCGCCACCTGTGCCTCCTTCAAGGGCACCATCCCACGACATCGTGCACCCCTACAGCCTATGATTACAGGCTTCCCATTCGAGCGAGTAGGCGTAGACATAGTCGGCCTGTTGCCTTACACAACATCCGGCCATCGGTACATCTTAGTGTTGGTGGATTATTTTACAAAGTGGGCTGAAGCCATCCCCTTACAGCGACAAGACGCAGCCTCGGTCACCAACGCGCTGCTCAAGGAGTGGGTCTGTCGATACGGCGCACCCTTTTCACTTCACTCCGATTGCGGAGCTAACTTCGAAAGCCACCTTCTGCGCGAGGTCTGTGACCTTCTCCTCATCCACAAGACTCGCACTACACCAGCCCACCCAGAGGGCAACGGCCAGGTGGAGCGCACAAACCGCACCATCATCAACATCCTGAAGGCGTTCGCGGAGGAACACCACCCACACGATTGGGACGTGAAACTACCCTTCGCCATGATGGCCTATAGAGCTGCCGTTCATTCTTCCACGGGCTATGTCCCATTCTACATGTTGACCGGCCGCCAATTCCGGCTACCGACAGACTCGAACGTCCCCACACAACAACCGGCGGCCTATACGACCGACGACTATGTGATAGGGCTACAGGAACTGCTAAGACTCACGCACAACTTGGCACGCACACAGCTCCGCAACGCCTACGACAGACAAAAGAATTATTTCGACCGACAGGCACATGGACTGCCCTACCACATCGGCGACCTAGTGCTCCGGTATCGGGCGGTTCCGCCCGTGGGCACTCCAGCCAAATTCTTCCACCCTTGGGAAGGGCCGTTCGTGGTCGCTGACGTCATTTCGCCCACCACTTACATTATTCGCGACGCCCTCACCCACGCCGGCCCCGCTTTCACCGTGCACTTTGATAAGTTGAAACCGTACCACGGCAGTCTTCCCGTTGCGTCCCACGATACCCTACCCATCCTTCCCCCCCATTTAGTCCCCTTGCCTACCAACGAAGTGGAAATTCCCCCTGACCCACACCCCCCACCAGGCCCCGCGGACGGGGCACTGCCTAGAGGGGGGGGCAGTTGTAGCAGGCAGACAGGAACGATTGTTTGAATAGATAAGGGCGCGAGTTTTGAGAGTTAGGGTGCCTAGCGTCCGAACGCTATCTGTTCGTCTTCTTCTGTCCCTTTCAGTTGAAGTGCGCGAAGACGGTGATTCCCCCTCCCCGGTGGCAGCATCCAACTCCACCTTCCCCGGACAATAGTGAAGACTACGTTGGTTTGGACTTTCCGATCCTTCTTGTCTATCCCTCATCTACGTTCCCTCTTTTTGCGTTCCCAATAAACCTTGGCACACTACGTGACTTGTTGCGTGTTTGAAGACTGTTATTGATGATGCCTGATCGGAAGTGTGATCCTAATGATGCACAAACTGGACAGAGTATTGCAGTTCCCGACGTCCCACCCCAGACTACCCAAATAGACGCAGGCGGACCCTCGGACATCGAACCCCTCGCGGGGTCGGACGCTACACCGACCACGCCATAGCACGCCTCGTCATGCGAGTGGCGTGGGAACGATCGATGTTAATTGTCCCCGAATCATTTATAAGTCATGTAATTCGCATAACTTAAACTTCATTGTAACCGTTTTGGCCTGATGAAGAGTTACTGAAAACACGTGTTCGCCAATTTGACTTTTCAATTGCAACATGGGAATATTCGCTGAACAAAATTATCCGACACCGACGCAGTCGACGAGTCACTCGATAGCTCCAGGCAGTTAAATCCTGGTTGACCGCATGCCTTAAATAAAATTCGGATATTTCGAGACCCCCCGGGATTTTGAGGAAATTTTTTACTAACCGGCTCGGAGTCTATAAAGCAGAGCGAGCATGCCAGACACCACTAAATATGAAGTCGATCACCAAGAGTTGAGACCGGGGCGTAAGTTTTTTGCCCGGAGAACCTCTACGAGTTAAAAGATCCCAGAGGAAGGTGTCCACTAGGTTAAGGAGGGCCCAGGTAGCCGCCTTCTGGTGCAGTGTACGCAGACCCGAGTTCCATAGTTAATACTTTTCCGTTAAATTCTGACCAAAGCATAAACGATTGTTTCGACATTACTTGGTCTATTTCAGTACTGTGTACTGATTGTTGTGCAATTTTGTCATAGTATGCATTCACAGGCAAATTTATACGGGTAATCAATGTTTGTTGAATGTAATTACTTACCTAATTTTCTTTGACACATGCTTTACACATTGTTTTTTTTCATGATGTTATTGTAACCAAAAGGGAGTTCAAAGATGTTCGCACACCTTTCCCTTAATAAAACTGGACAGAACTGCTCGATCCATTGTGACCCCATGTTGGCGCCACAAAGTTCACATGGGCAGGTAGGTCGGAGTGGTCTGTTTGTTGCTGGGAAGAATTCCATTGACCGAGAGATTTTGTGGTGGATGTGGAAATGGCTAGTGGTGGCTGATGGCGCATTTTACTATACGGGGGTGAATGACGGATGCCACTGATCGCGCTGCTTAACGGTTTAACAATAGCGCTCACGCCTTGCAACCACTGCCAGACTACTAGCGTTTTTAGGGTGCTGGGGATCTCCTCGCGTATATTTCAGCCTGGGTCCAAAATCCTGTGGAGGCGACGGCATTCCACAAGTACGTGCTTAGTGGTCTCCGCGTCAGTGCCGCATTCTCCGTGAATATCATCGTCCGATCGTACCAGCCTCTTTCGTCAGTAGCGTAATTCCGGATGGCAGCCACTTGGCAATCGGATAAGTACCATTAACTCAGATATGCATGTGAGTAAGGTTACAGCGGTATACCCTACGGTTGATCTAGCCGTGCCGATATACGTGTTGCGAAGGGTTGCGCAATCACGGATCAAATAAGCACTTGCCAATTTGTCGAAAGTATTAGTATGACACTAGCTTCATTCCTACAATGCTAGCACACCAGCTAAATATCAACTATTAGTCAAAGGTAACTCCCAGAAGTTTATGGGTTCGGGTGAAGATTAATGCTTGACACTCAGTAGGGGTTGTCAGCCGGCTTTCGGGTTGTCATAAATTCGCGTAATACCGCATCTTAACACTGAAGGATTCGACTTCTATTCCTTGCTCAGCGCTGTAATCGCTACTACGGTCGTCTGTAGTTTCATTCCAGTCCCACCCAGAGGCTCGTCTTGGGTCCAAATTGTCTCATCCTCTGTCAGAAAGCTGGCAGGGGCGTTTGCCGTCCTGCGCTTCGTCTCGTCTTCAATGTAGACCGCAAACAAAAACGTCGAGAGCACTGAGTCCTGTTGAACTGTCAACCTAAAGACACCTCTTTTCTACATCGTACCCCACTGAGGGTACTCAGATTGATTTTGATGGAGTCAGGGCTCGGGGACGCCAAACGAGGGAACCCCTCTTCCCAAGCGCGTTCCACAAGAAAGTGTCACAGGTCGTGGAAAAGTGCCGGTGCGTACGTACACTGCTTGGTGTCGCGTTCTTTCACAAGTCGGCGAACATGTGTTGTGATAGCCTGAATCGTTGGTCTTTGATAATACGCCCCGATTCGAACCCAGCTTTATCGTTCGAACGTGTGTAGTTTCCTTCCAAATAGATGCGCAAGTGATTGGTGGGGAGTTAATCAATTTCCATACCCGCTGTGGAGAGCGGCATACGAGACAGGAGCTTCCTCGTTTGTTGGAGTCCTTCCCAGCCTTTGACATTGATTGAACGTCGGCCATCCTTCCGGAATGTCGTACAGACATGTAGTCCGCCAAGTTGGGACATACCTCAGGGGAAGAAGCGGTTTACACTATCCGTACTAGCATTTCGGTGAAACAACTTAACTTCGTTCATGCGAATTCCCGAATCCGAACCCAGTGGTTTTCCTCCACGAGTTTTAGCCTACTAGCTGTGACGTTTGGGCACTGGTCTTTTTCCGACCACTTCTCGTGATTACCCCCGTTGTATTGGAACTGTTGGTTGATCAGCCCCCTCAGAATTTGCTGCGTTCCTTCACCTGTCTCAACTTCCAGCACCTTCGGCCGCACGACATCATGTTTGGTCTGCGTATTGGGGGCTTTTGCCCAAGCGTCCTCATCTTTGAACTCATTCGGGATCCTGGGCTTTATAAAAACTTCGAAATGACAAGTCTCCGTGAAGGTCGTGGTTTTGATCAGGTGGTGGAGACACCATGCCAAGTGGGATTTGAACCGTCAGCACTGGTTGGAAAAACAAACTGCCAGTGTAAGCAGGTAGTCAAGGGGCAAGTTAAGAGACGCCCTCTGTAGGATTGACGGACCGCGACATTCTGTCGAGAAAACTGACACCAACTCCCTGCGGGACAATCTTGCATCATCTAGACCCGCAATTTCGCCTACTTCCCGGTACATGATCTAATTTGATACTGGACTTCGTCTAAGTCCGTTAAACCCTGGGCTAGACTGGTGGAGGGCAAGAGTGTTGGAACTGACGTCCCAAACAACAGTATGCAACCAAAATAAGACAAAAGTGGGCATCCTTGAAGAATTAATAAACAATGGCTGTGGTAGAGGAAATGTTCACCTTTTGCACGCAAATCGTAGATGCGGACTTTGTTGTCTGAGGCGCCCACAAGTACACCCTGTGGGGCTACTGAAAGATCGTGTAGGGGGCTGCCCACTGAAATGCATCTGCTTTCGCCACACTTGCCGGTTGTGTCACTGGCGCTGGCTGTAACATCCCATACACGGATAGTCTGGTCCCAGCTGCAAGAGACCAGTTTTGGCTGAGTCTGGCCTGCTTCCTCCAGCCAAGCCACTTTGCTTACCATGTTGCGGTGACCAGCCAGAGTCAGGCGAGGAATCTAAAGATGGCAAGACAAAAACACGAGTCGTCTTAGCCCAGTTGAACACTCGCGTCATGAAAAAAATACATTACTTACTGTGCAGTGCTGAAGTACACGCCAGTAAGCTGTTGGTCACATTGGTACAAGCTTTCTGCCTGGAATTATGAAATTTCAATGCTATCCTAGGCCGAATTCTTCAGAGTTAAGTGAGACTGGATTGCTACCGTCCTAAGTGTATGCCGGTTATCGATATTCGGGGTTCAGTCCTGAAATCGTGATAAACGTTTGAATCAAAGACAGCAAACTTCAGCGGAATAACCGAGTAATGCGCATTCTATGAACAAGTAATACAACCAGTAGTGTGGTTTTAGAGGACAGTGGTTCCGCAATGGTCCCAACATGTAGTAGACGTGCTATCTCATGGAATATTAACTGAAATTCTGAAGATAACTTAAGCAGGGCTGTAATATTAATTATCGTGCACCATAATCCCAAGATATTTCAGACACGGCATGATGCCGCCTTTTGAATGAGACTCTTTTCGGCCGTCCACAAAAACTATGCTTCGTGAAAAGTGGCCACTAAGGTAATATGCATTTTTCCCGTTGATTTTCGACGGTCTAATAAATCCAATCCTGTTGTACGGAAGACATACATAAAAATGGAAGCGAATATGCGAATCCCAGGTTCTTGTTGTAAAGAAGATGAAGACCCGATCTCTGGGAGATCTGGTCTTCATCTTCTTTACATACATAAAAATATTCAGTCTTGTGCTCATTTGATGGCAAATTGCGTCTTCTCCAAATTTATGCCTGAAGATGGAGTATCTTTCGGTTTTAAAAAAGTTTCTGATATTGTTTTTAAGCCCGTGACCGTCGAATCAACACATTCATTCGTACTACTTATAAAGCATACAACCTGGTCCACACCAATTGCACAATTCTGAGTCCTATATGGAATATTTCTAACACCGCAGAGAAATGTGTGATAGCTCTTTGACGGGATGTATACAGCATGTAGATTGGGAATCCTGAATGCAAGTGCAACAGCCAGGGAGGGAAAAGTTAATCTAAGTATAAAATTTGGAGAAGATGCAATTTGCTATCAAATGAGCACAAGGATGAATATTATTATGCAAGTTTTCTGTAAAATGTAATTGAATTCGTGAGGCCGCCGAAAATCAATGGGAAAAGTTGATACTAATTAAGCAGTTATTTTTTATAGACCGTAGTTTTTTCAGGCCGCCGAAAAGAAGTGCAATTAAAAGTCCGCGTCTTAATTTGACT